GCTCAATTTCTTCATCATCAGGCGATTCAGATTTTATTTTAGGCACACACATCGGGAATGTCGCATCTGTTTCAGGTTCCAGACTTCCTTCTGCCGGTATCACTCTCAGCAGTCTTTTGGGACTTGTACTGAGTGACTGTTCGGACTTTGCATCAGATTTATTTGGTACTAAATTTAATTCCATCTTCTTCTCATCTGTGCTTTCTGGGTTTCCAGAATGAGGTTTTGACAGGTGTGTGGGTTTCTCATGCTCTGCGTCCTTCAGTTTGTCTGATTTTTCTTCCTGAAGCAAAATCTTCATTATCTTCGAATCATGAATTCATTTAGTAAAACTTAAAACCAATCATTCAATAGATTTTGTAATAAACGCATATTGTTATTATGGAGAAACTGGAAGTAGTTTGGACTTTCAGTCAAATTATAAAAGCATTCTTTTTCATCAGTACGAGGATTTACACTTGTTTTCGTTGGAAGAAGCTCATCGCAGAAGGAAGATTTATAATTTGTTTTCATGGCAATTAATTTTCATTATTTGTAAATATTATCATTGATTCAAACACTGCGTGTTCACAAAAGCTCGAGTTCATCAATGTTATATTTAATATTCATTCAGTATTAAATATAACTATATATTAAATATTTACTATTCAATATGTATCTGTTTTATTCAATAAACTATATTTTCCGTATCAGAAAATTTTATTGCAACGTAACTTTTGCTTATTTTTGTAATTGTATCTCTGCTATCTAATTTTCAAGCTTGCTTTGACTATTCGTAGTTGAAGCTTAAAATTTTTCAATTAAATCAGATTTGCAATGTTCTGTCTAAAAACATGCTATCAAGAAATTGATCAAATTAATCTCACCTCAGCATCTGATTTTGTGCCACAGCTTTCATTCCGGTGACTACTTGCTGGATGTTTGCTGAAGAGATTTTCTGAAGGTTCATCAGGTACTACATTAGCATATTTAATATTATGCGATGGTATTTTCCGTGGTTGTTCAGATTGAACAGCAAGTTCACATTCCAATTCATCATCCTCATCATCTTCAAAATCTACATCCGAAAGTTCTATCTGAAAAATGTTTCCGTTTATAATCGCAACAATACTTGATTTTCTTTATCAGTCAAGAGAATATTATGTTCTAATCTAATTTAGATCAGGTTTCAACCTTTAATTGCTTTTATTCAACTATGAAGTGATACAGTATGTTTTGTTTTCAATTTATAAATGCATAACCAGAACCTTGCACTACCAAAACTCTTTTTTTACCTCGGAAATGTGCTAGTCTTAATTAATTAATTTTTTACTTGTTTTATTAAACTTTAAAACATTACATACTTTTTGATATAATTAAATTTGACTGTTAAAAAAAAAAACAGTAATAAGTATTAAGGTGTAAAATTGTATATCAGTAAAACAAATGAAAATCACCTCTTCTTGGTTGTTGTCAGCCATTGTTTTCTGCGGCTTGCTGGTTCAACCTTTTAAAAATGCCCTCAAGCTCTAGCAACCACAACGTATTACAACTTTATTCACATTTCATCTCTTATTCTCACTTAACTTTTCTTTCTTTTCACAATTTTGCTTTTTGCTCTCAAAAATAACAAAAAATAAGACACTAAAAATGTTTGAAAACGTTTACTTAAAAACATTTCCTTAGCATGTTTGAATAATATATTTATATATATTTGCAAAATGGTACCTTACTCAAACTTTAACCCTTATATTTACCCTTTATTATGGTAGCTCAAAATTTACTGAAGTAATTAGTATTGCTATTTTTTCTCTTAATTTAAAATTTTATCAAACAAAATCAATATAAATTTGAGGGAAAAAATAGTGAACGGAATATAAAATGTGATTAAAAAATATACGTAGCCTTGATAAAAAAAAAAACAAATGAAGATGCAATCAGTTTGAATTTGAAATCTTTTACTATATTAGAACTGAATAACTGAATATTTGTGCATACTGATTTCGTAGAAGTATAGCTATTTTTATGCTTATCTCAAGACTACATCACATGTGAAATATGATATTATATTCATCAAATATTAAATTTTGAGATAGACTTGAAAATAGCCACAATCTATGAAATTGAAATATAGCAATGGCGATATATTTCAAAAGTAGAAGATTAATAATTGTTGCAAAGTATAAAAACTTGCATTTTTTGAATAAATTTGTTACTTTTTTTAGAAAGGTGCAGAATATAGCAGAAGTGAAATATTTGACTTATGCATAAAAGTGACTTCATTCTGACTTTAAAGCACACATGTTGATTTTTTCATTTTTTGCTGTAATAAGTCATCTGATAGCTTCAAATTCCTTATCTTCTGATTATGAAAACAATTTGAAAGAGCTAAAATCACTAAGATCATCAAGATGATGATTAAGCTATCTCATTATTGAAGAGATAACTTTTAATTCTATATAAATAAATAAATAAATAAATAAGTATATATATATATATATATATATATATATAT